GAGTTTCGAAATATAAAGCTTTCTTTTAAGCTGCGATCCCCTCCCCGCGTGGATGTTAGTGCATGCGGCCCTAAGAACAAAGGTTCTATCGATCCTGGCTCTGGCCGGAGAAGGGCAAAATGAATTTTTTACTCGCTTGATTTTTTTACACTGACATGGCGGGATCCTGGATGTCCTAAAACATGTCCACATTGTTTGATTGTTAATGACCCATTTGGTCTTTAACCGATCTCTAGATACCATTTTGTAGAACCGTTCCCAACCTAGATTTGTAGTACGAAGGGGATCGGGATTACGGTAGGAATTTCCTGTACACAGACCATTGTGAAATAGGCCGTTTCATGAAAAAGTTATGAAGAATCTAGTAGTAACGATTTTATGGGTGCTGATTTTACTCTATAACTTCCTACGAGGTTTTTTGAGCTCATTCGATGTGTAAACGCATTTTCGAAAAAATATGGAAAAAACAGTGATATACATGTGATAAACTACAAAAGGAGCATTTAGTGAAGTGCACTTTTCATATTGAATAACAGCGACCTTGGTTGGCCTGGTGCAAAGCTTTCAGTAGGTTTGTTCCACCATCTGTGTCAACAAAGGACTGTCAATGGTTCAAAATCCTCCTCAAAGTCCCTACCGTAATGCACTAGTGACGAAGAAAGTCCGCGATTCGCTCAATGTACCCTTTGATTCAACATGATTGGCGGCTGGAAGGCGGGGCTTCGTACCTTATTGAGGCTAGAGAATGATCAAATGATAGTGTTGCGGGTGCGAGCGGTCGCCTTCCAGCCGCCAATCCCATTGAATCAAAGGGTAGGTCTAAGTTGAAGCCAATTCTACAGGGAACATAAAGATTTACATAAGGTTTTGAAGCAACAGAGTTATTAACGATCAAACAGTATGCACATTTTTTTTGGGGAAACTCGGTATGTTAGGTTGTCATGAACTGATACCCATCCTACGCTACTGCGGCAGGGTGAACACCAAAACTGATAATGAGCGGAGTACTTTTCGATAGAGCAAGGCGAGTTTTGAACCATAGACTCCAGGCACTTACACGAGTATTGACTCATTCAAAATGCCAAAATTCAAAAGCTATTACCCGCAAAATCAAGGACAACCAAATACTCGCTAATAGTGATTTACATAAAATGTGAAGGTTTAAAAACATTTGATTATACGGAAAATCGCACCAAAAGCTATGCACCTTCCACTTGCTTACCCTATGCTCTGCATTTCATAGACACGGTACTTTTTGTCTACGAATCGGTATTCCAAAACATTCCAAAGACAGGGGAATGTGGCCTTTCCGAACTTTTTTTTGTTATACTCAGATTTCTTGAAAATTAATACTGTAGAAAGGAAGATTTTTGCTCTTGCAAAAAGGCAGCAGTATAGAGTTGCTTATGTGGGAACTACTAAACATTTTTTTGTGGCTAAAGCATGTCAATTTCGTCATTTCAGTAATTGAAGAGGCATGTGAATATAAAAAAAATGTCTAATGTGAAAGGGATATATAGGTGTCCCAAAAAGATGTGCACATTGTTTGATCGCTAATCGCTCCCTTGCTTTGAAGTCTTTGCCAGTCTTGAGGTACCATTCCGTAGAGCTTGATTCAACATAGATTCTTAGTATGGAGCTGTTCGCTTATCGCTTTCACTGTAAGATTACGGTAGGCACTTTCGGCATGCGAAACCACGGCAAACGTAACTGCCTGACAAACTTTCAAAAAAAAATGTCGTAGGCAGTAGGAGTAGGATTTTCAAGTATGCTATGTAATCCAATACAAAACTTCTTAGAAGTTTTTTAATCAAATTCTAAAGCGTCAAAACAGTAGTCACGGTGTACCTGGAATAACTCAATAAAAAGATTTTCAAGTATGCTATGTAATCCAATACAAAACTTCTTAGAAGTTTTTTAATCAAATTCTAAAGCGTCAAAACAGTAGTCACGGTGTACCTGGAATAACTCAATAAAAAAGCGTTACGGTAAAATGCAATTTGCACATTTGAAATCAGCAATTTTGACCACATAGTATAAACGTTTTTGGCTTTGTGACCATTATAAGGATGATCCAAAAGTAATGGGGCACCTAGAGAATAAATGTAGCTTTCTCAAGTAGAAAAGCTACTTGGAAGTCCATGTTTTGGAAGATGTTAGCAAATAACAAAACCTTCTGATTGAGGTCTACAGATGGGCACTGTCACATTGCTTTATTTTTATAAGCGCTTAAAATTAAAGCTCATCACTTCAAGTAATTTTGAACTTTGAGCAGCAGCGCCGCAGTAAAACAAGTGAACCTACCGAAGATATCTGCGCACCAGTGGGTGAGGGGGCTGTCACCGAATCCACGATAGCTCGGTGGTCCCAAAGCTTTAGAACAGAAGATATCGCATTGGGTATTATAAGACATATGACTTATTCTTTCATCAAGGTGATCACATAAGCTCAACCTTAACAGTTGCTTTCTGATAGTGCTTTTTACGCTCTATCCATACATATGCAAATCACTATGACTTTCCTCATTTTCAAAAAATTGTGGGCCAAAACATGAATTTTAGTCTGAAAATCTGTGCCGAACACCGCACTTTTTCGAATAAAGTGCCTTTTTTGTATGAAATAATGGGCAATTCTTGAATATTCAAGTAATCATTAAAAAGAGCATGAAAAGCTCTTTTGAATGGTATGTCATATGTCGAGGGACTTTTAGGTGCAGGAGCACAAATTCGGAGGGCGTTCAGAAAAGTCCGTCTGACTTCCTTGAAGCGCCGCTCGAAGGAATGTCGGTGAAGTGCTGCGAGATGTTGTCAATATAATCTGCGGAGATCACTTTATACAAAAGCGTTCAAATTGCTGTTTGTTCAAAGCTAATCAGATAGAGATCTTGAAGATTGTTTAAAAAATCAAGATGCCCCATTACTTCTGGATCACCCTAATAACTTAAAACTCGATTCAAAGATTCTAACGTAATTCTGATCTCTCCATACTGTAAATCTGACAAGGAAAGCATGTTTGGTCAAAGTGGCCTTTCTTAGATGGAATGTAAACCAGGGCTCGGCACGAGGTGGCTAGATGAAAATGGAAAAAACGAAGTCCCTCTTGACTTTTGGGAATTCTTACGAAGCCCCTTTGACCCTCAACCAAATTTCCTCTAAAAACCTAAAAAATTCCCCAAAATCCCCCAAAAAACGAAACGTCGCCAAAAACTTCCTTTGCTTTTCGTCCCAAAAACGATATCCAGCTTGCTTGTAAGCCACCTGTGCCGAGCCCTGATGTAAACCACTTTGAAGAGCATAAAATGCTGATTCCAAATCTGCCTTCCATATCTGCAGAACGTTTATGGGCGAGGAGTTATGAAAACTTACGGAGCAAATGATTGAGTGTGCAAGTAAGGCAAAAGTAGCCGGAATACGTTTTCTTGCTTTTCAATGGAGCAGCGATAATCATTGGAGCACTTTATTCGAAAAATATTCTAAAATAAAAACATATCACACTTGGTTGCATTATTTGAGGGCTAGTAAGATTTTAGCAGCTCATTCTTCCAAAATGCAGATTCAATTTCTTGCTTTAAGAAGGCTCTAACTCCTCGCCCATAAACGTTCTGCGGATATCGAAGGCAGGTTTGGAATCAGATTTTATGCCCTTGAATATTGTACATATCTCTTCTAGAAAAGCGATTTGAGTAACAAGCTTTCTTTGTAAGTTAAAGCCAGCGCAGAAAGCTATCTGAAATTCGGCGAAAGGCTTCAAAGCAGGAGGGTTATCAATGATCAAACAGTATGTACCCTTTGATTCGACTGAATTGAAGACTGGAGGGGGGAGGGGCTTGTGACCTAATTATGACCAGAGAATAATCAGAGAACACTTTCCCGAAAGAGACACAGACTGGGTTGCGGGCGTGAGCGGAGGCCTTCCAGCCGCCTATCTCTTTGAATCAAAGGTGCATGAGGTCCAGGATTTTCTTCTGTGATGGGAATCGTTTTCCCTGATTTTGTGCTAGCATACACATCATCACAACCTCATGTCTTATCGTTAGTTTTTCAGATAGGCTTCTTGCAGAAGTAGACCGACCCTAAAATTGCAGCTCCTTCACTAGTAAGTCTCATCTCTCTACTAATTAAATATACATCTCATCAATCTTCTCCAAGTAACTTCATATTAAGGTCTAGCCTAATGGAAAGTCTATTACAATTTCTTTATTGAATACCCTCTTTAGGCAGTCACCAGGGACGCGATGATTAGAGAACTTCAAATGTTGGAGCACTAATTGCGTCAATGAAAAAAAATTCAAACTCGTTGCCAAAGCAGCTTCGGTTGTTAAGAATGTTTCAAAGCTTAATCTATTAAGCTTCTACTCTTCTACTATTACTCCATTATTATTATCTCACTAAATGCTCCAGCTTTTTTTCTATTTTCGTCATCATTTTTTTCATAATCCATTTCTCACTGTTGCAAAGTTCAATCGTCATCGCAGTTAATCGAGTTCTTATTCCGATTTAACCTCTTTTTGGTTTTCCCAACTCATGCTGTACATTTCTACTCCTCCTGACTCCTTTTCTGTCCCCTTCTACAGCCGACAAATTTTCACTGTCTGTTCTTATGAACATTGTCACAATGGCCAGAAATGGACTAACCAAGCGTAGCTTTTGAATGTTTAATATTGAAATAGCCAGCATTTTTGGGTAAAACGTGGTTTGCTGCAAATGCTCTAAAATGAATCACATTTTGCATTGTATCACATCCACGCATTCCAGTCCGAAATGGCAATAGGATGCTTGACAAATGACAGTTCCAAAATTAAAAGACCACAATTTATCTCATATTGTATGAGCTTGTTTTGAATCGACGTTGCGTGCTCAGAACGTTCGTTTCAAAATTTCGAAAAGTCTCTCCGCTAACCTTTTCCCTCTTCTAAGCCGTTATCTCACTTATTACCGTAACCCTCGTACTTCGAATTTCGAATTGATAATCCTCAGCAAAATATTATAAGTTTCAGAAAAATGATGCGGATAAAGGAAGCAATACAACGAAAGAAGCTCATTCAGAAAATGAATGAAGACTTCAAAGACCTAGAATTTACACTTCCTATATGTAAGTTTTGCAATGTTTCAATATTATATCTGATCTTATCAATATAGATTCCTTTTTTAAGACACGCCTTCTCCTATACCTCTGATCCCTCAAGAGCCAGCGCAAGGCGAGGAAGTTGCTGTGGAGGCGGAACCAACAAACGAGAATGGATTGCAAACTTTTGTACAGTATTTATCAGAAAGACTCAATGAAAATCAGGTTTGATCCCCTACCTCGCAAATTTTTCAAGCTGTTGACACATTAGAGCGGAAAATAATTCTAGAAAAGAGCGCTGAAGGTAACTTGGAAACGTTTATGTGAAGCACCAAAGACATCTGGAAGAGGAACGATCCAAATCATGGAAAAGGTAAGCATATTGGGTCGATTTACAAGTCTCGTATCAGAAGCTATGATGAATATCACAAGTTATTTTGAAATGTTTAGTAAAGGTTCCAAATTACACAACAAAAAATATGAAGGTATCATCTCAAAGATGTTTAGAAAACGTATATAGAATAATTACGATTTACATATACCTTTGATTCACCTGGCTTGGCGGCTGGAAGGCGAGAGCTTCGTGACCTAGTTAAGGTAATGAGTTAGGTAATGATCAGAGAGCACGCGTGCGGGAGAGACGCAGACTGCATCGCGTGCGCGAGCGGCCTCTATTAGGTCACAAAGCCCCTTGTTTCAGCCTCCAAGCCAGTTGAATCAATGGCAAAATCACGCAGGTGTTGCATAGAATATGATTATAGTAAGGGAGAAATCATTTAGGCAACATCAATGAAGGAATCGTATGCTCGAAAACGTCGAAAACTATTGTAATCCTCCAATCAGCACAAACTTTTCTTAGTCGAAAAGCTTGAAACATAAGTCCAAAAACACAAGTAGAATTGGAATTATTTGAACCTTTCATTTTTAACAGCGGAAACGATTCAAGTATTTACCGCAGGTTTTATCGCCCTATATGTCCATTTGATTTCTGATTTGAACATTTGACAACTGAAGCGCATGATTTCTTCTTTTTTGAAATTTTGAAAGTTAATCGAATTTATTGAAGCAGAAAAGATTATGAATTTTTGAAAGCTTTTGCAGGACCTACGGAGCAAAATACAAATGAAATATACAGAGTGTCCGTAAAGTATGTATACACTGTTTGATCTGTTAATATCTTTCTTCCCAACAAGTCTTTTGCCTTGCATCAGGTACCGTTTTGTAGAGCTGGCTTCAGCTTAGATTTACAGTATAGAAAGAATCACCCATCTCTCTTCATTACTGTAGGATTACGGTAGAAACTTTAAAGAGGGTATTGAGCCATGAAAGGCCATATTTTGCCTCAGAAAGAAAATAAAACAGCTTAAAAGCTTTTACACTAGGCTAATTAGAGTTGTTGATTCTAACTGTACAGTTCCCAAATTACTATGGTGCCTCATTGAAGAGTTATGCCGGGTAAGAGGTAGTGGCTATTTTATCAATGTTCCGGGAAGTGCGGTTACACACTTTCCAGGAACATTGATAATTTCTAAGCTTAAGAAAGCTTAGAAATCTTGTAAATAGTTGAGTATTGGACTCAGCGTCCATAAGAACCCTATTACGCCAATTTTAACATTTTTTTGGAAATTTTGAGACGGCAGCTTTTTCCACATTGACACCATATGTTTCAAATTTCTGCCATAATCCTACAGTAATGAAGACTGATCGGTGATTCGCTCCATACTATAAATCTAAGTTGAAACCAGCTACAAAACTTTACTTGAAGGAAGGCAAAAGACTTGTTGGGAAGAAAGATATTGACGATCAAACAGTGTATACATACTTTACGGACACCCTGTATATATTAAGCATATGAATATACAAAATATAAAAAGCCAAATACAAAATACATCATTTTTCTTCTCGCCAGATGAGACGCAGATATAGGAACGCTCGAAAAAGAAGAGCGAGAAATGAAAGAAGCTAATCAATGCATCTAATTACATGAATAGGAAACTATTCCACTTGCTAATTTCCACATCTATGTATACAGCGGGGTGTACGCTCCCTTTTTTCAGCAACCTCATAGCTCAATTTTTCGCACGGTTTAAACAGATTTTCCTTAAAGCTATTGAATCTACCCTTTGATTGAACGGGATTGGCGGCTGGAAGGCGGGGCTTCGCGGCTCAATCAAGGCTAAAGAAAGTTCAGAAGAACACGCTGGCGAGAGAGACTCAGACTGCATCGCAGGCGTGAGCGATCGCCTTCCAACCGCCAATCCTGTTGGATCAAAGGGTATCGTCGAGCTATTCGGAACTTAATATGCGTATTGCGTGCTACGCTTTCTAGTTGACGGCTCTAAAGATAAGAATCTGCCCACTGTTATTTCTCCTTGCTTCTTTCTTCCCAGGGCCCGGCAGAAGGTGGCATTCTAGATTTTACAAGACGACTTCCCCTTTGTCTCTGGGAGAATTTTACGAGTTCCCCTTTGAGGCCTGGCACAAGCTATGTGCCTGATCTAGCACGCTCGCAAGATTTGAGCAAAACTACTTTAAAAATCTTATTCCCTTTTGAATGCGTATTAGCGAAGGTAAATCTTATGTTGCTATAGGAGATGATGATCTGTACGCGGTATTCACTATAACACCGCAATTTTAATCAGCTTCGTTTGAAAAAAAAAAGCTGTAGAAAGCTTATGAGTTTGCATAATCGAACGCAAGACATCGCACACCGAGATGCTAGAGTGGTCAGAAAAATCAACAAATCCTATCAGCACGCTTTTTTATAACATGGTTATAACTGCGCCTAATATACGAAGGCACCTCAAAAATTTCAAAAGAGTATGCCTAATTTTCGATTCAAAACTTTTCTGTACACTTCCCCTGAAAAACAACTTGGGTCGCAACTGATTTGACTTCGACGTTATCCGCAGGTCAAAAATGGCACGCCCTTGTTAATCTGCTAGATGTTCGAACACTAGAAGCACTCTACGACTCTGGTTGCGCTTTGGCAAAAAATCACGTCGTTCCATAGATCATTTACTTGTAAATTTTTGAAATACACGTATACATCAGAAAGTTTTGTAGAGCTACAATCACAATCTACTAAGGCCTATCAGAGCATGACAATTTAAAAAGAAGCAAACGTGTATGAATAATCATTGCCAAGCTATACACGATGAATTTTGAAAATTGCTTAGGTACTTTCCACAAAACATTTCGCCAGCAATGAATATCAGGCTATGAAATGCACTGCTATATGCTTTGTCACCGTCGAACGCGTGCGGAGCTATTGCGCACTTGGTAGCAGAGGTCTACGTCCGAACAAGACAGGCAGCATAACCATATCCGTAATCATTTTCCTCTACTTGGCCTGCAGAAAGGTTTATCAATGAGTTTCACCCGTTTTTTGATTCGATAATAAATACCTGATGATTTCCGTAAAACTCTCATGGAGAGAAAAAGCAGATGCAGAACAAGTAATTCGAAGTATAACAGTCGCACAGTGATTGGCAATGCACTGTTGAAATCACTAGCGTCAAAAGGAAACCCCTCGCTGCTTTTCTGTGCTACACAAAAACGAAAACAGAGTAGGAAGCAAATAATCAAAGAGTTTCTCACATACCTTTTGAACTTTCGAATAGCATCAATTAGGGCAATCAAGTTGATGTGATGGAATGTACAACAGATCAGCACATCAGTCGGACCCTATCCCCACCGGTAGCACCGGCATCTAAAAGGATACGTGCTTGCCTCCGTTCAAAGGAGTGAGATATAGAATGATGCCCAGTAGAGAAGCATAGAGAGTCGAAGTGCTACTGCTGTAAGAAATCCATAGAGATGTAAAAACCAACGTTTAGACTACTTAAACTCACTCTTTAGCAGCAGATAACCATAAGATTGAGACTTGGGTGATGGGAAAAAAGCGATTCTTGCGGTTTAAACATCCACGCGCAATCAAGAGATCTGAGCAACACCTTGAAATGCAATAATTCCGGAGAGATAAGCATAAATTAAAAAGAGTCATAAGAAGCTTTTGCCCGTAGTGCATAAAATAAACCAAGCATACCAAAAAACTTGCAACCATTGGGGTTGCAATTCAAGAAAATTCACAGCGTTAGGTAATCGAGCGGTCGTAAAATCCGGCGCAATTGCAGAACTGCAGCTAAATCAATGTTAGATTTCAGCACGTAAGGAATAGGCCGCTGTAAGTTCCACTTGCCCTGTAAAGATTGCAGCATAAACGATGGAAACATCACACGGGAAAAATTAGATCACTTCCGGAAACATTGAATAATACGCAATTTATGAACAAAGAGGACAAGGCACAATCATAGAAAGCAAGTGATAAATGATACAAAGTGAAAAGTGCTCTTGAATCCGTATGCTTGGCGGGCGGAGGATCCTTTGCGATTGGAGCGCGCTTTCCGAGGCCGATCATAACGCTGTGAACCCTATCTGGGGCTGCATCGAAGCGGTGCCTTGGTGGTTTTGGAAGCGGATCTGAACATATAGTAATACTCTCGATCTAGTCCACATTTATGTAAAGAAATCCGGGAACTTATGTGAAGGGAAGCAGGGAGCCACCCCAGGTGGCTCCCAGGTGGCGCCGGAGCCACCTAATTTCGAAAAACACTTACCATTTTTTAAATTCACATAAGTTTCTCATAATTCTTCATACTTTTTTTGCGCTCATGGTCCTCCAACTATACAACAAATTTGGTGCCATATCGTTACTTGTGCATTGAAAACGAGCCTATTTTGTTATTTTCCTCTTACAAGAATTGCGATTTGAATTCCCGCCTGCGGCAGGCTAGCGATCGGAGCACAGAATCTTCACATTGCTGAGATCTGAGTTCATAGGAAAGTAGCATCAACAAGGAATGATGAATAAAGAATGATATGTGCATTGTTTATCGGTAAACAAAGGGGAAGTCGTATTTTGGGGTCCGGGGCTCCGCCCCGGACCCCAAAAGACGACTTCCCCTTTGCTTTTTCGGGCCAAAAACGATATCCAGCTTGTGAAAGCGCCACCCCCGCCGGGCCCTGTTTCTTCCTTTGACTTAAATAGATATGTATTCGTCAAAAGCACATTCTGCGGTTTTTCTTACGTTAGAAACAGTTTCACTGAAGAGTACTAACGGGTTGTCGTCGGTTTTCACGCACAGTGTGCAGACTCACTTATTAAATTACTGATGACTCGAGGATATAGCCCGCTAAATTTATTTGCCTGCAAAATTTGTGCTTGCAGTGCTGACAGCACTCGGGCGTAAAAAAATGCCGGCAGGGAGCACATATTTTTACTTTTGCGGCTCATAACCAACCATTTTATTTTAGTACCGCCGACGCTAGGGCGTTATAATAGACCCGTTTTCTACATAATTCTGTTTATGCCAGTCGATTTAAGTTCTACACGGCATTGTTCTAGGTTCTGACGAAGCTATGTGAAAGCGAACCTCGCGTTATGGAAGTTTTCTATAAGTCTGCTTTCTTGTCATGCATTGAAGATCGAAAACATCATCGAAGAAATGGCGAGTCAATCGCTACAATCCGGTTGGTTGGTCCTGTCCTTCTCTAAGCTAAAAGTATGCTCTGGAATTTCAGTGATCATGCACATATCCTTGTTGATTTTATTGAATCTATAATCAAACTTATGTTTGAAGGAAGTGTGGAAGGAGTAACTTACAACCCACAAAGCATAGGTTAGAATTCATATTTGATTATTTTTCGGAATCTTTTTGACAAATTGAGTTTTTGACGGATACAATTACGGGACTAATCTCCATCACTTTAGGCGCCTCGCATTGTCGACTTGCACCTCTCGGTTTTGAACGACAGATGTGGCACGTATTTGGCGAATGCTTTGCCGAGGTAAAAATGGATTTCTATAAAAAAGCGCTCAATATTATTGATGAGAGGATATGAAATATTGACAAAGTTAAAGCAATGCGTTTGCATAACCATCATCTCTCTTCAAACTTTGAGTGGACTTTTTGAAAGACTCCAAAAATTTTCTATGCAAGCTAAAATTTCATATAAGAAAAATAAACAAATAAACCGCGACTCCAAATCGAGCCTTTATTGTACATTCCTCTTTTACATAAACTATAAAGGATAAGTACGTACACCAGTGGCGTACCAAGGGGGACGGGTTGGGGGGGGGCGTGAAATTCTTGAAAGTTACTTATATGAGTTATAAAAATGTGCTAGCGACTTGTTTATAATTACAGTTTCTAGCAATTCAATTTAGCTTCAAAATTTTCTTCTCCCTCTCCCCTCGAACGCTAATCCTGAGTACGCCACTGACGTCCACCTATATACTAACATCACGTTAGTTGATTTTGCCCATGACAAATGCTTTACGCTTGACTTTCTGTCTGTCAGATAGTAACGCTGCATTTCAAACTGAATGCAGATGTAAGAAAATCCAAATCTCACTATCCGCTTATATCTCTATCGTGAAAATCGTTGCATAGTATGAAATCGTACAACTCAAACAAAAGAGCAGGAGCCAGATCTCTGGAAAAGACTTCTTTGTCACCAAAAAGCTTCAAGCCCCGGCCATGCTTTGCGCGATTTGGGAATACTCCTGACTACTTCAATAGCCTATAACTCTAAGCGAGTTCTGAATGCACAGAAGTTGGATAATTCTAAAATCGTGTGCTTGTTTTATGATTTAATTCGTAGGGACAGTCTTAGGCCCCGGGCAGACTTCACGCGATTTGATCGTCGCGACTGAGTCGCGACGAGACAACTGTTACAACATCATTCCATGCCGATCAACTTGCATTCGGTTGTGTTACTTTTCCAGCCCGACATTTTTGAATGTGAAATGAAAATGAATGGAAATCTTGGCGATTAGATCGCGACGGTTAAGTCGCGTGAAGTCTGACCGGGGCCTTAGATTTTGGCTGCTGCTTTTGTGCTATGGTAGAAACATTCACCTGTTCTACACGGTCAGCGATTTCAATCATCAAGCAACCTCACGCTCACTGTAAGACTCGATTCCAATGCTTTCGCCTTTTCCCGGTATTGCGCAGGTTATGAGTGAATGGGTGTCTTTGCAATTTTCTTCCGCTTCGGCTCAAAGCTTTGCTCTCTACACTTGGGCAATTGTGAATTAGTCTTGAAATTGGTTGGTTAGGAAAGCGTATTTGCACGCTTTGCAACGCAGATGTAATTTAATGGTTATTTGGAACTATCGTTCATTTTGTCCTCAGCCGTGTATGGCCGGAATGTCTTGATGAGGTTATTTTTATCCCATGTCAAACCTCTTACCCAGTGCAGAAAAAGTACTTAAATTTCCTCAAAGTCTTCTTGTCCTACTGATTCCGGAAATTCGAAAAGCTGAGTATGCTGAAAATGTTTTTGTCTATTTGAGCAGAGTTTCAACGGCTTAGGTGGTGTTGTCGTCGTCAAACACTGCATGAAGTTTTTGACCTCCACAAAATGTACCGACAATTTCCTGCCGTTCGCGCTCGCAAAAGAGGGGCGAGGGAACGGTATAATGAGGAATTTACTTCCGCATTTCACGCCAAAACAGACGTCGTGGTTTTTTGTGCAGCAAAAAAAAAGAGTTGAAAGGCAAAACAGGGCAGGTACTAGACAGTGGCGTGGCGCTAGAGACGACGGGGATCCAAATTACTTTTTATCGCACTTATATTCTTGCCACAGCGTTCTTCCCATGAGTATCGAGTCTCGCATGCCTTTCGCGCCTTTGCACTGCCTAAGGGGTATATCTCACAGTTTATTATCACCTTGATATCCTTGTGAAGAAGAGTTGAAGATGGCGAATGTTCTGCTTTGTGGTGGTACCTATGGGAAGGATCGCAGGACACATACAGGGTGTCCCAGATGTGCCTGCTGTTTGATTTTCAACAACTCTCTTGTAATGAGGTCTTCCGAGAAGCTGGTACCATTTTGTAGAGCTCACTTCAACTTGGATTTAGGGTGTAAAGCGGATTACCGACTGCTCTCTATTACTGTAGGAATACGGTAGGAAAGGGTTTTGAACTGTGGGCCATATTTTGCCTTTGAAAGGGAACAAAACAACCTGAAAATCTCATACTGGGCTAATTAGAGTTGCTGATTCTAAGTGTGAAGTTCGCAACTTCACATAATGCTTCACTGAAAAGTTATACGAAGTAGGCAGGTGGCCGTTTTTCCAGTGCTTTTAAAAAGTGCGGTTACGCCGTTTAGGAATCGCAATCTTGTACGTAGTTGAGTATCAAAATCAGCGTCTATGAAAACTCTCTTACACAAGTTTTTACGTTTTTATTGGAAGTTTTTGAAACGGCAGCTTTTTTCACAGTGACACCATATGCTTGAAGTTTTTACCGTAATCCCACAGTAATGAAGTGCGATCGGTGATTCGCTCTATGCTGCAAATCTAAGTCCAAGTCTAATCTAATCTGCCATTCAAATCAAGCCAGAGACAAAATGGTCCTAAAACTTTTCGAAAGACTTCATTACAAGAGAGTTATTAATAATTAAACGCACATCTTTTTGGGACACCCTGTGCTGCATATGCGTACTGCTCGCTCGAGGCTCAGTGTGGAGTAATTCCGAGGGAATTGCGCAAACAACTCGCTCTTACTAGCAGATAATCAAGATACATAGTTGAAAATTCATAAAAAAATCTGAAAATCCACAAATCAGCAATCCTTACTAGATGTAAAAGTGAATAACCGTGATGCTTTAATTTTATTAGGAAATTGAAATGTTTTGCAGGTGATGTTCAACCAGGAATGTGTTCGAGCCTTCCCACATGCTCCATCTGCCTGGTCGCTGCTCAGTGTCGCTATGACTGATAAAATGTTCGATGCTGGAAAACCACATAAGAAGGTGTGCAGTAGCTTCCTTGAGTTCTTACGAAATCAAAAAAAAAACAGTGGAGATTATTTCTAATACAGTCCATCCGTTTTTCTGATGCGCATTTTCAGTCCCTTGCCGTTCGACGACCTCCTCCCATGAGACGACCACCTCCGATGGCGATTTCCGGGCCGGAATGGAAGTCAGCGGAATGGAAGTCGAAAAAATGGAAGCCAGAACACTATGAAATGGCTTTTCCATTACTGCTCTTCAGAGACGATAGCGATGACGACTATGAAGAATTCTTTACTGCACGAGAAAACTTTGAACGGGACATCCTCTCTGGGTGGGAGGAACCTCGGCATCACGGTCGAAGCAAATCGAGGACCCGGACTGTTTCGACGGATACCCGAGTTGTCGTCAAAGAACCGCGCTCGAAATCAGCCGGTCGTGACAACTCCAAATGTATTTGGCGCTCAAAATCTGCAGGCCTTTTAGAATCGCCGAGAACAACTATTGTATAATTTTCTTTATTTGACCACTGCTTATGGGTGATTTTTTTTGTTTGTTTTTGAATACAAACATTTTTGCATGTTGTTACGGAACAACACAGCCAAAAACTGACCATGCCTATGGCCATGAAGCAGTTCTGCTTTTCTCCTACCAACCTTTCTTTTATACTCTTTGTGACATTCAGTCGAAAAAAGTCACAGCCAGTTGGATACTGATCTGACCTACATCAACATCGCTATTTTCATGTTTGAAGATAAGATGGGGGATAAAAAAAAAGCAGTATGAGAGTTCATGCATACTGTATTCGAGCCAAAAAGTTAAACGGTACTGTTTTCCTTTCTCTTCTTCGAGTTTGGTATCCTTCCTCAGGGCCGGTAGTAATCTACCCTACCTGGTGGCATCATAGATGCCGGCAAGTTGGCACACTTCGCGGAAAGATGCCAACTCCGCCGGCAGCTCGCGGAGTGATTGTAGGATTTAACAATCTTATGTAACCTTAGCACGCAATCATTTCGCACACTAAATTTTGATGACGCAGACAGCCGCAAAAGTGCTACCTCGCCCGCGGTCGAACCTATGTGCGTTAACTTGAAGTGCCACCACGTTAACCATTCGACCATTCGATCAGCCATCGCCATTTGCACCAGCAATAGTACAGCAAGGTGCCAGCAACCTGCCGACGAGACCTGCCGCCAGGTCGGGGGGATTACTGCCGGCCCAGAAGTTCGTGAAGAAGTGAAAAATTTACCAGAAAGAACACTTCAAGGATTATGCCGACATGTGAATATTGTCTTAGATAGGCCGATAATTTCACTCTAAAATGCAAAATAAACTCTCTAACAACTTCAATTGCTTTTATTCCGCTTTGAGATGAGACTTTTTGTGCCATTGGTAATGGTGATTATGCCCTATATTGCTGGCCGGGAAAATTACCTTGCTCAAGTTTCGTAGCGGTGAGTGCAGAGACGAGCAACTTGGCAAGCGAATATAAGCATTGACAACAATTCAGAATAAAATTGTCATCTATAATTTAAGAAATTCTGTAGTCATATGGAAATTCTTCGACATCTGAGCGCGAAAGTCAATTTTTGACCAAACCAGATCCCTCGATTTTGACGATCTATGCCTCGAAAGTTCATATCAAAATTTTGGGTGCATACCATCTGTACACTTCACATACAGCTTCGTTTTTATGTTGCAAGGTTTTTCGCAAATTTTGGTGAAATTATCTGGTTTTTTACTTTCCTGCACACCATTTCGCCATCAAAGAATGCATTTCTGCTCAAAGTAGGTTGACCAACCGATTCTGCTGGAATTACTCTTTCCAGTAATGCTAATTGCAAGCATTGGTGCAAAGATTTATCTGTGAATCTCTAACGCCTCGGGCAGAGTTCACGCTATTTCATCGTCGCGATTCATCGCGACAAGACAACTGTGCATTCTGAAGAAAGTTATGAGCTTTTTTGTGCGAAATTTGCATGCTCTTTGACCTACTAGCATTACGGTATCATCATCTAAGTGTTAATTTATTGTCTTAAGTTTCTTGTCAATGACAAAAGACTTAATCTAATATTATTTTAGCATGCCACCACGTTTTTAAGCAGATTTTCATCTACAAGCAGCCTTTCCGTGTTGGGTAGTATGCCAATTTCGCACAAAAAGGCTCAAAATTTTTTTCAGAGTAATGTGCCGCAGCTAGAATCAGCATATTTGAAATCAGCGTTCGAAGCTGCTTTCAAATATATGTGTCTTATCTCAAAACGCAAATCTAACAATAAGTTACCTGACTTCCTTTGTAAGTACCTTTTACCCCACTTTGCATGAATAGCGATGTTAGATTGCAAACCACAAAAATCAAAAATTCTTTCAGTCGCCAATTTTGAGCAATTTTTCAAGCAAAAAACGACACCGATTTACATTGTCCAAAATTAAAATAGTTTAGTAAGATTTTATTGCTTTTAGGTGAAAAGTTAACCAAAATGGTCTATTCAAAATTAGTACGAACTTGATGCCTACATTGTCTAAGATTGTTGGAACTGTAGACTTTTCATTTTTTCGGCAATATCGTTGCAGGCGACTTTAGCGCCTTCTCGGTAGCAATGATAATTTCGTTAGGATTCTTCGGTTGCTGAGGCAGTTTCGTGGCTGCTATCGCCGCATTTGCGGCTTCTTCAACACTTCTCGGTTGAAATGATGAAGGCAACCTTGCTGTGACTGGCGATGGAACTCTAGCCGTCGTAGCGTCATCGGAAAGTGAGGACAAATTACTAGCTCCGGCCTCATTGCTGTTTGACTTCTTCGATGTGTTCAAAACATTCTGTGGCGAAAGCATAACCACAGTTGGTTTATTCTTGACTGCCGCCATAGGTCGTAACGGAATGGTCGTCACGGTAGGAGATCGTGGCGAAGTCAACGTCTGCGCGGTTGATGTCGTCTTCGTTGATGGGCTGTTTGGTAATATAGTTGGCTTCTGGACAGGCAAGGTGGCAGCGGGAAATTCCCTTTTGCTAGGCGGACTAGGTTGAGGTATCTTGCTGGGAAGAGTCGTCTTGTTTGCACTAGCACTAGTGTCCGGTCCAAGATTCACGGTTAAAGGAATCACAGCTGACAAACGCCTTTTCGGACTAGCTGCCTTTGTGCTGGCAGAAACATTTTTATGCGGTTTCTGCACCACTGAATCGGGAAGAGGCAGGTCTTTGTCGTCCATTACCTTGGTACTATCATTCAACGCTGCTTCTGCTACTATTGGTGGTTTTATTAGCGGCTCGATAGGGCCCAGAACGGCTGAATTTTTAGTTTCGCTCGCTCCAGCAGACGACTTCTGCTCATCAGGCTTAACGGTTGGAGCAGCAGGCACGATCTCACCCTCTCCAGCACTACTGTCGGACGATTGACTTTTTAGCTCTCCACGAAGGCTGTCTTTCTTCAGCTCCTCTCGCAAACTTTCCGTCTTCTTTGTTCCAAAAATGTTCACGGGACCTATGAGGCAGTCGTCATTGTTTGGTGTTTTTTTCGGATTTTCCGATGGTTGGCGAGCACCTAAACTATTCAAACAATAATCCAATTGAAACAAAGATATTTCATCGATACGTTACATCATTTCTAACAAGGGAGGTCCGATAAGTCGAAGTGGTCTTTCCAAATGAGTCTTACACCACTCTGAAAAGCATCAAACGATGACCCCAAATTTGATTTCATTATCTGCCGAGCGCCTCTGCATGCCGAGTTATGAATATTTTCTTTGCGAAGAATGAACTCATAATCCAGATAAAATCAAATTTTACGCTCTTTTCAGCGCTCATGTAGGGTAGTTTTAAGTAGCGTTTTGGACAGAAGGTATTATTCAAATGGAGTGCTTTGATAATTAACATTGGGCTATTTGAGCAATTCTGATGACTTTTGTTCCAATTATGCATTCAATTTTTCGAGTCAATAAACGCTCATATCTCGACGTCCAGAGTTGCTCGGCAGGTAGCAAGGACAGATTTGGAATCAGCGTTCGATGCTTTTTATAGCCGTATCAATTTCATGTGAAAGGGCCACTTCGACCAAACGGACCTCCCTTGTAAGCATAGTTGCGATAGGGGGAGTGATGGATCTTACCCCCTTCACTTTGAGGCCAAACTCCCGATGACCCCCTTCACCTGAACTGAGATTGGTATTGTACTCTGAGAATATGATGAAAATCGTTATTAAAAAAAGGTTTTGCAGGCTAAGTACCTCAAACAACAAGTACACTCATAAATTTACAAAATAAAATCGTACATATGTTTATTTATATTATTTACTTATCTTCGTAGCATTCATTTGGAGAGCAGAAAGTGAGGACAAAAAAGCCGTTGGTTTTTGGGGTACATAAAATGCCTCATATATCGCGGCACAGAAGACCTAGAAAAAAATCGACGGTCTACGTCGATTCCCCATGATCTCAGCTTTCGAATGGTATAAGCATGTTAGGGCTTCTTTGCTTGCCGGCTCTAAAAATCATTTGCTCCGGTAGCCGATAAAAGCCAATACATTGGTGGAGCTGGGTGGAGCAAGCTAATAGTAAATATCTGCACCCCATTTTTGAAAACTGGGTTAGTTTTTTCGCCCAGCAACCTATATACCATTCGAAAGCTCAGGAAGATGGGGTTCGACCTAGACCGTCGACTTCTTTCTAGCCCCCCTCTACCGAGAGATACACCGCATGTTATCTGAAAACATGGTCATTTTCAACAGCAGATTTCTGCCAAATGAAAACCTAATCACTGCTGATTATCTATCTGTGTCAAAGAGCAAGTCTTCATTAACAAACGTAGACCGTCGACTTTCTCGTAGAATTCGTTTAAAGAGCAGAAAGTGAGGACAAAAAGCAGTTAATTTTTGAAGCACACAAAATCCCTCATATCTCGCGGCACAGAAGGCCTAGAAAAAAGTCGACGGTCTAGGTCGATTCCCCATGATCTCAGCTTTCGAATGGTATAAGCATGTTAGGGCTTCTTTGCTTGCCGGCTCTAAAAATCATTTGCTCCGGTAACCGATAAAAGCCAAAACATTGTAAGAGCGAGGTGGAGCAAAGCTAATAGTAAAAAATGTGCTCTGAATTGACATCGTTATCAGCACTAACGGCAACGCGAGCGAACGCGTTTATTTAAGCGTGTTTATCGTTGTTATATGTTTATGTTTTTTATAGTAAAAAATGCGCTTTTGATTGACAGTTGTGCCACCATTATCAGCACATACTCAAAAAAAACTGTGGGAGATTGGTGAATTTAAACATCTTCATACAAAAACCCGCCCATTTCTGGAATCTATACTCTGTAAAACTAGTTCTGAAGAAGGTCACGTTCGTGAAAACGCTCTAGACTCACCTACCTAATTTGTAGAGAATGGTTGGTTTCAATAGATCAAAAACTTTAAGACATTCAGAAGAATAACATGTTATTAAGATATCTCTCAATGTTTTGGAAAGGTTGGCAGTTTGAAGAGGAAACGGCAGGCAGAATTTACAAAATCGCGGATGACTCGCATGTGTTCCAGCTCAACAGCGAGGCAGAAGGAGAATCTTACGCCGACGAATATGTTGTCGACATTGATACAGAGTTGACATTTGAGCGAAACTCTCTATTTCGTACATCAGAAATCCAAGCAGATTGCCTAGCTCAATGAGGAAATGTCCAAGAAGTCCATTGCTGATCTTCAGGTTGCTGAAGATTTCAAGGCTGCTAAATTCACGAACACGGATACGAACAAAAGGAAGGAGTTAGTACAAAGCATAGCTACTGCTCTTAGAACCCGACTGGAGTACGAACTTAACTCTGTACTTTATGCTGCTGGAAGTATCTCGCCTTGTGACAATATGACCTATGATATTGAAAAAAACCAACGCGCAGCATAGTATCTACTTTTTTTCGGCTATTCCGCAGATGCTGTTGAAGAAGAAGTTGAGCAGCTTTCTTATCAGTTAACAGGACGTATGCCAGAGGAGGTGAAGCCAGAGTTCGACAAGGCCCAAAAAGTATGCAATATTTCCTTCCTTTGTTGCGAAAGCATATGCGATCTGGCTCTTTCCCCATTACTTACCGCAAAAATCTGATGGGCTTAGTAGCAAAGCTAGTTCCCATTTCGACTAGCACGGCAGAGGTGGAGAGGGGATTTTCAATCTACTCTGTTATCACAACGCAACGCAGAACTCGTACAACGGTGGAGCATCTAAGCAATTACTTAAGATTTGTCAACCTTCTACTGAACATATTGTTATCTAAAAACTTCATTTAAAGGATTGCTATAAGTGGTCCAGACAGGCTGTCATCGTATGACTTTTTGAAATATCCCAAAAGATGGTATGAAGAAACTGGTCAGCTACCCGCTGAATTCCTGGTGCTACCAGAGGGCCAGGAAAAAAACACAAAAGCGCTTAAAAGGAGAAAAACGTTTCAAATCCATTTTCGATTCAGAACGCTTTTTGACGCAATTCTACTTCTACTCCGATGCTCTTTTGACAAAAGAAGAGATCTTTTAGGCAGCGAATTTCTTGTCTCTGACATTAGTGATAGTGATATTGTTGATGATGACGTGCAGGAATTGTAAGTTGTTCCTAACTTGTACATCTTTTGGGGTACCTCATTGCTTTCTTTTTTTGTCGATGCAATGAAATAGGAGCAGAGATCTTCATAAAGTCAATTTTTTTTGATATATTAGGTTGAACCGAAAGTTCTTTCGCACCAAATTCAAAAATTCATAACTTCTGAATTTTCCAGCCTATTGGAACGTTTTTATTTTTTTCTGAAAAAGTCATGCTCTTTATAATGACTTCTTAGATGCTTGCTAATGATCCTTTGCATAGATAGGAGCTGTAGAAGAAAATTAGTCAAAATTTGAATTTTCTGTGTAGGGTCAAAAATTGAAAACTTGCAACAAAAATTGGAGCAGTCGGTATTGTAGGTTCTTTCACCAGCTCTTTCTGACAGTGCAAAGTTTGCGCCGATTGAGCGTCTCTGTGAAAAGTTACAACCCTGAAAAATGCCAAAATAAACCAAAATCATCCTTTTGTATTGCTTGCTCGAAAATCGTAACTTTTCATAGAGACGTTCAATCGGCGCAAACTTTGCACAGTCAGAAAGAGCTGGTGAAAAAACCTACAATACCGACTGCTCCGATTTTTGTTGCAAGTTTCCGATTTTTTATACCCTACACGGAAAATTCAATTTTTGACCAATTTTCTTCTACCGCTCCTATCTGTGCAATAGATGATCATTGGTAAGCAACTGATGGTCTTTATAAAGAGCATGACCTACTCTTTCATATCAAAATAAAAGCGGTCCAGTTGGTTAGAAAATTCAGAAATTATGATTTTTGGATTTGGTGCGAAAGAACTTCCGGTTTAATCTAACATTATTTTTTTTTATTCTAAAAAAATTTTTTCAATTTGTGCTACCTAAATAGGGTACAAATTAGAGCACTTCATACCACGCTTTTTTACATTTTCTCTCTTCCTCCTCCCCCCCCCCTAGACTCACATACCCCCTTCACCCTGGAAGGTCGGGAACAGCCGAGACCTCCTTCACCTGAGGAGAGCCCGGCTCCCCCTATCGCACCTATGCTTGTAAGGTAACTTGAGCTGTTTTGCAGATCAGCATGTAAAGCTTGCCCTCTATGCATGTCACATTAACCCGCTTTCAGAAAATGGAATTACTGCGATGTGTTCATTTATACGCTAGGGATAGATAGATATCTAATATCTAATCTATATATATATATAAAACTCAAAATTGTGAGTTTGGAGGCTATGTGCGCTATAGAAACGCGCACCGCTCAACCTATTCCACTGAAATTTTGCACACACACGTTTTCGACCCCTGCGCAGATGATAGGCTACTTTTTGCGGCGATTCTTTGGGTCTTTCTATGGATTTATTGATTTGTTTACGCTTTTCTAGGGAACTGAAGATCATGTTGAATCAAGCATTTTCCCATAATCGTGAAAGGAGGGCGGTGAAGCTCATTTTCACCACAGGATCACGAGGATGCGGTTTGAAGCGGATGTCCCAGGGTAAGTCATCCATAATATATAGGGGGGGGGGGGCTTGCAGTGCAGGTGAACGGAACAAGGCCAGGGCTGGACCGGGGGAAGCCAACTAGTCTTCCATACTCTTGATTTCAATGCAGTGTGTGCCTCAAAAAATCGCAAATTCTGCTACCATAAATATTCGATTTTCAAGTCATTCATCACTGATGATGTTAACAAATTGCATTACTAACGCCGACATCGATGATGTTTTTTGCGTAGGCAATTTGAGAAACGAAAATTGCACGGAACAGTGCCTGGAAGTATGAACATAACATCAGAGCCGGAGCCCTTTTCATGTGGCGCGGATTACGGTACAAAGCGGGTTCAAAGTCTTCTCATAAGAAAAGTAGTCATTCAGCAGGGCAGCTACCTCAACTATATCTAATCTACCAGCAGGACATATTTGTCAGTGGGCGTAAATCATTTGTCACTTGCAGGTCAAGTTGTCTAATTGCTAATGAAAATATGCGAGCGATCTTTGGCTCAGATGAAAATCAAAAAGTCAACTTGCTGAAATTATTGCCTTGTAAATATTCAGTGTAAATGGCGACATCATACATTTTTATAAAGCCAAAATTCAAACATTTTAACTCTCAGAAAGTTAGAGGAAAAACCTACATGGATCTGGACTCTTAGCATTTGCGTCAACAGACAGTTTCTCGAGTAGCCTTCGCTTTTCCTCACTCAAGCGAGTAGTATCCAAACGAGGTTTCAGGGTGACAAAAGAGATCTCAAAATCTTTTGTGACCTTCATCACCTGGAAAAGAACTACCCTAGAGTTTTTTCCTTGTTAAATTCTTCTTACAGATGCAGCATTTCCATCGGTTCCGCAGTAATTTGGAGCAGAAAATATGGTTATGAGTTTGTTGTCGAAAAGAAATTGGTGGCCGTCCTATAAATATAGGTGTTTACTTCAAAATTCTGTGCAACAGCTAGCTGACCTTCACCACTTCGTGTGCTCTGACAATCATAGCGATATCTAACAACTGACATATGTTAGCTATGGTATCACCACCAAAAATGTACGAAGTAGCTCGTATCTGTAATGAATTATGACCATAGATAACCTTGTTTTTCGCGAGAAAAGGAGGAAGGGGGAGGGGGAGGGGAAGAGGAAAAAGTTTGCAATGAAAAGCTTGGTTTTAAAGCGAAGTAGCTGTATGTCTACTGCCGGATGAAGGCGCAAAATGGGCATCGCAGCGCTAGCCGCAGGGCGCAGGAGGCGCAGCATTCACAATGCCGCCCTCGCGCCAGCTAAGTGTTGTTTTAAACAAGTGATCTCTTTCGCAAACCTCGGTCGATTGGCTCGGTGCCAAGGGGGGCGGAGCGGAGCCTTTGGCGGGATGACGAGTCATCCAGGCGTTTTAACGCGTACGGAGCGGTCGGCTCTTCGACTTCTACTACATTCCGCTATGACGACAATCAACCGGACCAGCAAGGAAATTTCGAAAAGATCAATGAAGAACTAGTCTACGCCGAGGAAGCGGATCAACCGGCAGGAAATGCATCGTTCAGACTGGACCGAAGGGACCTGGAATCCATCATACAAGCGGTCAGGTCAGAAAGTCAATCACAAATTCCTTGTTCTTCTTCCCCTCTTTCAAGAGGGAGGGTTATGCGCGGCAATACGAACTCAATTTATCGCTTATCAGGAAGTTGGCGTACAGTTTTATGAAGATATAGGAGGCAGTATTGCCTCTGTAGTTCAGGACCTCACGATTAGGAACGAAGCTCAAGATAGCGGATGAACATCCAGGAGTGTTTCAATACCTTGACAACAAGAACAAGTCGGAATCTCTGAAGGTCACGGATCCCCGATCAAGCGAATTCCTCGAAGCTGTAAAGCCGAAAGAAGACACTACTACCAGGAAAAGGAAGCTGGGTCAATCATCCGTGCCCTTTCGCAAGCGGGGAGCAGCATGCCCACCTGCTTCCCGCCATCGCGACTACTCATTCGAAGGCCATGCTGAGTTTCCCGCTTATGACGGCGCTTTAACAGCTCCTATGGGTACCAACAGCCGTGGGATAGAAGCCGCTATTACAGGAGAGACCTCACACCCCCGGTCGTGCTTCAGAGTACAGGACATCAGCACGCGACCAGGACAGGAGGAGAAGCCAATGCAGAAAATGCGGACAAGAAGGACAGGTGTGGTGGAGGGAGTGTCGAAGGACTAAGTGGTGAGTTTCCAGGCGCTATACACGATTTTCCTTCTGTATGTTTGGCTCTCGAGCCAAACGGTTTGGTCTCGACCACAATTCTATCAGGTTACTCGATACCGTTCGACGGAGTCCCAACCAAACCACCTAGTGGTCGAAATAGAAGGAGTGCTCTCTAGCATGCACAGTACAGAGATTTCAGGGCTCCTCACGACCAAGGCGATTCGGCGAGTACCACGCCATCAACAAGCTTCTCTTGATATACATCCTCTTTCCGTCGCAAAAGATAAGAAGCTGCGACTAGTCTTGGACCTCTCACATTTGAACAAGTTTATCAAAGTGCCTAAATGCAAGTTTGAAGATCTAAGCAAAATAGTGCACGTTTTGCCAGCCCAGGGGTTCATAGCGACTTTTAATTTGAAGTCAGGCTACCAACACTTGAAAATTTCCAGTGACCATAGTAAATTTCTTGGGTTTCATTGGCAAGGGGTGACTTATCAATTTGTTTGCCTTCCTTTTGAACTTGCGTCGGCACCGCACATTTTTACCAAAATGCTTCGCCCTTTCATGAAGAAGTGGAGGTCTTCGGGATTGGGTGTTGCGGTATATCTTGACGACGGGATTCTTTTTGATCCAAGCAGTGTGCTTTGCACACAAGCAGTCAACATAATCAAGTCCGACCTCTCGAGGGCAGGATTCGTATTTGCTTCTCAAAAATGTAAATGGGAGCCAGCTAAAATTGCCTCTTGGTTGGGGTTTGTTATCGATCTGGAACACATGTGGGTGCAACTTTCAGAAGATCGAGTAGTCAGGGCAAAAGAAAAACTTCGAAAGCTCTTACAATGTGCCGGACCATCCCTACATGATAGACTAAGGTGGAAAGGAACCTTGGCGTCCATGTACCTTATAATGAGTGCTGCAGATAGCCGCCACACGATGGCAGGAGCGCGAGAAATTGCTAATGCACAAGCCCAAGAGTGGTCCCTTAGTCACAGATGGCCACTTTCTTCACACGAACTTTGTGAGTTTAAACTATTGGCTTGCTAGGTTGGACTCTCCTCTCAGGAGAACCCTTGTTCCCATGAGAACTGAATTTTATGATATTAGGTTGAACCGAAAGTTCGTTCGCACCATTTTCAAAAATCATAACTTCTTTCCGTCACAATGATTTTGGGTAACACGAATTTTATCGGAAAGCGTAAAATATGTAGTTTTCAACAGTTTCCTGGTGACTTTCCAACATGCTAGGTTGCAGAGATAAAAATGAAGGAACGAGATTATCCGAAATTCGGAATCTTTGAGCAAGAATTCTAAAAATTCAGAAACTGTGCAATAAAATCCAGAAAAGCCATTATCCCAAGTTTTCTTATATTTGATTACTAACTGAGTCAAGTTTGTGCTGATTGAGCTCTTCTTTCAAAAGTTATAATTTTTGGAAGAAAATGCCGAAAAATCAACTTCCTAAGAATTCTTAGGAAACTGATTTTTCTGCGTTTTTTAAAAAAAATCATAAATGTTCAAAGAAGGGCTCGATCAGCACAAACTTGATTCAGTCAGTAATCAAATACAAGAAAACTTAGGATGACAGCTGTTTTGGATTTTATTGCACAGTTTTTGAATTTTTAGAATTCTCGCTCAGAAATTCCGAATTTTGGATGATCTCGTTCTTTCATTTTTATCTCTGCAACCTGAGCATGTTGGGAAGTCCCCAGGGAACTTTTGGAAACTACATACTTTATGCTTTACGATAAAATTCGTGTTACCCAAAATTATTGTGACGGAAAGAAGTTATGATTTTTTGAAAATGGTGCGAACGAATTTTCGGTTCAACTTAATAAAATCTTACAAGTGGACGCTTCAGCACACTCAGTAGGTGCCGTCTTGTTAGATGCGAAGCAGGTGCACATCAGCACCACTCACAGAGAACTCCCGCAAGAGCTTTTAGTAGAATCTAGTACGGCGAGGGAGCTGTTCGGAAGTTTGGACTGAACTCTTTCGAAAAGTACATTCATTCTGGGGTTCTAGTACATACAGATAGCCAGGCGGCATCCATAATGCTCAAAAAAGGTAGCCTATCTTTCCTGTTGCACGAGCTCGCGGAAAAGATATGGAAAATCGAGCAGAAAAGAAACAAAAAAATATCGGTTAAGTGGATTCCCCGGGAGCTAAACCTTGAAGCAGACCGTAAATGACACCATTTTTACAATCCTTTGTGAGAGATGGGGCTACCTGATCATTGACAGGGAGGCGTGCAAGTGGTACCTAGGCAGCCGACTGCTGCCGCAGCCAGCCGCCGGATCTGCCGGCAAAGCAGCTGAACATGGTATTTACAGTGATTACGTTTGTCGTCCCAAAACCCTTGCGAAAATTTCCTCGCACCTCGTCGCGCTAAAGTGCGATATCAGCCTCAGGGATGGCGTGATCGATATCTATGTGATGATCGATATCTTTGTGATTTATAAGCATCCTTGACATCTATATCAATCTGAACGGCAGAAAATCTATATCTTGAAATCGTGCAAATAAAGCAAACTATACAAGCGAAAATTTTCCGAAAATAAAAAGATGAAAAATTTACGAAAATGATAAGTAGGAAATCAAGTAGGAAAAGTAGGAAAAAATATTAGGAGTGGTTCCTAATTTTTGATGATTTTTTTCTTGGAAAAGTGATTTTTTTGTAAGCTTGGACCTGAGCTTTTCGTGAGAACTGTATAGATTAGATTAGGACCTTTTGTTTTTATCTGGGAATCTATTTACGCTGTTCACTTTTATATCAGCATATGCGGCACAATTTCACCTTTTATTATTTACCTACTCAATTTATTTGAACTACTTTGATTAGCTCGCTTAACACTACTAGGTCATGAAATACAAATTTTGAACGGCTTCCCTTACTGCTGTTTATAATATCTTCCTACAGTTCAGCTCCATTCTCCGATGTTAAAAGCATAAAAAAGAAATTCGGTGATTATTTCCCTGAAAAGCTCTTTTCTGTATACTTGTTTATTTGCATGTTCTCAAAGAGATTATGGATTTTTTGCTGTTTAAAAGCTTATAGATGTCGACGATATCACTCAATCCCCGAGGCTGATATCTCACCTCAGCACGACGAGGCGTGAGGAAAACTCTCTGCGAGAGTTTTAGGTGACGAGCGCTGTTACTGAACCATCTGCAGCGTCTTTGTCGACAGCCCCGGCGGCTGGCTGCGGCAGCAGTCGGCTGCCCGGGTACCACTTGCTACGCACCCTCATTGACATGTTTGCTAATGACAGGAACGCCAAATGTAACAAGTTCTTTTCCAGCTACCTATGCCCCAACACGACTGGGGTGGACGCCTTTGAACAAGGCGCGTGGACAGACGGCTTTTTATGGTTAGTTCCGCCAGTGTCTCTCGTTTCTAACCTTGAAGTGGGTCCAAGTCTATGGAGCTAGTGGAATTCTGGGCTGTCCCCTCTGGTTTTCACAAACGTTTTTCCCCATTCTTAAACCTGACGGCAATCGATGGGCCAACTTTGTCAGGGATGGAGTCCTTTTCCCTATCGGCACCAAACTTTTTGCGGACGAAGGACTTCCAGGGGCGTTTGGATCTCAATCTGCGAACTCCCCATTCATGTTTTTACCTATAGACTTTCATCTCTTTCCCTTCCCTAAAAGAGCCATCAACTTTTAGTCCTCAGGCTTTGCGGGTTCCACAGCCCCTGTTATTAATCAGTTGTTCAAAACGGTATTTATACCAGAGTATAACGGAGGTATAAGTGTTGTTTTGAACAAGTGATCTCTTTCTCAAGCGACCTCGGTCGATTAGCTCGGGGCCAAGGGGGCGGAGCGAAGCGGCCCCGAGCCCCTGCCAAAATTGGATCTGTACCACCACTTTTTGCGATGTGATAAATATGTTTGACAAGCTAATGTGAAAGCCATGGACTCCAGCCCAGAAAACTGAACAAAAGTTGACTACTTTACAAAAATGGTGCCAAAAAGGATTAATTGCGTGAATGTTTAATTTGCCGAGATTTTACCCGATCATTGAGAAGATTTTCGCACAGAAATGTAGCCCACGATGTTTATTGTCCTTATGGCGACTACCAAGCAATAAAAATTCCAAAAACCTATTCAAATTAGCATCTGTTCTTCTGGGTAAAATTTCATCCATGCGAAAATACAGATCTCACACTAAAAACCTCTAGGAATGAGTATAGCTGTTTACGAATTTCGTGATAGCCTACATGGCACGGTGAGTTTCAGTATCTTATTATGAGGGAATGAGTGAGGCATACAGAAAGTAGGACTAGTGCGAGCCTCAAGCAGAGGTGACGCACTGGTTTATTAATAACAAGTAAATGTTGACCGAATCTCGAATGTTCTTGTCATAATTTCTGAAGCATAATAGACGTGCCATATCGGTTGCTTAGACATATATTGTGCATCCCTTCAGAATTGTTCAATTTGAACCATCTGCATGGCTGCCTTTCGATCATTTTAACATGTCAACGTCGAATAGCACCTTTAATGTCTTGGAGTTAACGTGTTTAAACGATAAAGGCAGCCACGTTAATGGTTCGTATGGGAACAATTCTGGGGGATGCACGATATATAATCATTCGTAGATTGGCAGACAAGAGTTCGCGCAGCACTCGTTGTTGATATGCCTATTAGAGTTCTTAAGAAAGCCGAAAGCAGATCCTTACTATTAGAAGCTAGCGTTTATGCCTACTAATGATTGAAAGAGTGAACTCGAACTTCATAAACTAGTTGTCAATTTCATTGCAGATGTTGACTTGCGTCGGTAGAAAAACGTTGGTTAATATATTAGGTCGTGTAATAAGTTCTGTCCCATTTTTTGTTTTAGTTTTTTCTTGACAACATTGACTATATTTGTGATAAAGTGTATATGCTTTTGAAAGTTCTAGGTCTGCTCTGCGGGCTCATATGCATCGTTCCCCAACATAGCAGCAAACTGAAAAAGATTTTCATCATTGGAACAAAAAATCCAAAGAGTCGAAAAATTAATTTTCGACATCTTTTTTCTTCCAATTTTTTCTCGATTTTTATTGGTAAAACTTATCAAACAAGCTTGACAACAACCAAAGCAATCTATTAGACTTTTACACTTATTCTATCACTGTTTGCGCATGTTCCCTTCCTTCCAACGGCTATTTAATGACATTTTTCAAAAGTCGGCTAGGCAAGACTTTGTCACGGCTATGTTCGCCGTCTCGCGTACCCAAGCTGTTGGCTCCCAAAATTCGAATTTTGATTATTTAACCTACGTTTTCGATAATTTTGAAGCCACAAACCATCCTTTCTGTCTTTTCTGGATGACCCGCCTACCGTCTTCCCTCAGGATGCGTTCAGATGATGCCAAACACCAACGTTGAAAAGGTGTTAGAAAGAAGACTTTTCTAAAGTCTACAGAAATGATTTTTAAAAGTTTCAGCATTTCTGAAGCGCAATAGAAGCTAGACTGCTTACGTGTAGCAAATTCTTCAAGCTTATTCCTAGGCATTCTGACTGATTAGGAGGGCGACGTAATGTAGTTGTCGAAATGGACTTTTTCCCTGTTTGATTTTTCAAATTTGACGCTGTGAAACTTTTTCAAGTCGTCTGATGTAGAAAACCAAGATGAGAGTTTTAGTAGAGAAAGCTTAGAGCTTTCAAATGCATATAAACAATTTGCAGAAAATCGCGCAAAATATTGAGAAAAAATCGAAAGAAAAATGGGACAGAACTTATTACACAACCTAATAAATACCGGGATGAGTGTAAATCCATACCTTCCTCGCTTGATTCAATGTACCCTGAAAGCATGTGGCGCCACATTCTCTCCGATTTTTCTTGAATAAATGCACTTCAGACAATTTAGCGCAAATTTTCCAAAAGTCCGTACAATGCAGTATGGTGTGATCGTCTACGAAGACGCTCTGGGTATGTCCGGTAATCAAGCAATGAGCGATTTCCACGCAGTGAACGTTCGCTCGGGCACTCTAGTCACACCGGTTGAAAATGAAACAGCGGCATTGCTGAAGGTATGCCTTAGGCTTAAGGCGAAGCTGGTCGCTTGAAAGTAAATGTTCAACGACAAAATCTTTGTCATAGTATGTATCGACTGATGAAAGATTTTTAGCCTTAGTTAATGGTTTCAATGGCATAGGATGGTTATAAATGTGCCGAAATGTTTAGTTGCCGCGGCTAGTGATGTAAGCGTTTCCCGACATTCTGAGGCTGAAAAACTGTGGCCGTATTCACCATTGATACCTTGAGGTAAATTTTACCTCCAGGTACTTTTATCACTCATTATCAGCAAAATTACATTGAGAATTTACCTCAAGGTACTTTATGAATACGGTTACTTGTTGATAATGAGTGATAAAACTACCTGGAGGTAGAATTTACCTCAAGGTATCAATGATGAATACGGCCACCGGTAGTCGCCTTATTTGGCGTTTTGGTACAGACCTCTGCTAGCGGGTACAACGCCAGCAATACGACCATAGTTTAAGGCATGCCCTCGATATATAGAGCCACGTACTCTGGTAACCTTCACTTTGAGGGCTATGTAGGGACACAACCTTCACCTGAAAAAAAAAACAGAAGTCATCCGGGGTAAAGCCCCGGATGTTATTATCCTGATTATATCGGAACGAATGTTAATGAAGCAAATATAGGGAATAATATCTGCAGCTTGTCTCAGCGAAACCGAGAACTTAGTTTTCATACCTTTTTCTACGTTAAAAAGAAGGTTTCTGGGATTTTGCCAGAATTTGGGACAAAGTTTCTCACTTGTTCCTCTCATTTGACCAAAACCTAGTTTCAGAAATTTAAGAAAACTATTGGAGTTGAATAAAAACGAGAAACTGCGCTTGAATCTTGCGCAGAGAGTCGCGCAAGTTTACGCTGGTCTATCTCGTTAAGGAGTGATTTTCAAAGCTTGGGACGTTGTCAGTACTCCTCGTTGTGTCATGGCGATCAGAATGATATATAATGTTGCGGGGTTTCGTTGAGACACCGCGGAGATCTACGACCAGAGCCAAATGCCCCGCCGGCCGGTCTGTCTCCGCTGCTCGTCTGCGTCTCCGCACGCTGCGCGCTACCTCGCTACCTCAAATGCGTGGCGCGGGGCATTTGGCTCTGGTACTCTTTTCTTCGCTGTTTCGAAAAAAATTTTAGCAAGCTATACATCATCTTGAAGCTCTTGATCTCTATTTTCACGCTGATAACGTCCCAGAATCACATTTTTTGATTTGACCGCGAAATCCGGCAAAAACCTTGTTTTCGAAAATCTCTTGTTTTTTTCGTAGTTTAACTCTTTTCACGCAGTTTTTTCGTGCATTCTATAGATCTTGCTTCTATTCATAATGCAGACAACCACCCAGCCCTTACCTCTTCGGTTTTGGTATAATTTTTTGCGAAAAATCGTAAAAAGTGCGTTTTTCTTTACCTTGTTCTGTTTCAGTGCTTTTGCATCGATTTTTTTCCAGTTTAGGCGATTGTTGCGTAGAACTATAAGCGCAACAATCCTGACAACGTCCCAGAAGACAGAAACGTCAATGCGGGCGTAAAAATTCAAAGGACGCATCAAAATTCAAACCCCGTGTTGCGAATTGCGTCCTGGAGCGAAAACTTGCACTTTGAAAAGCCGCCAAATAAAAGATTTCAAGCCTCATTGCAGCGTTTTTATCCGGTTTTCAGCAATTTCTTCTGCTTTTTATATCTGTTTTACGTCATTCCCTCTTCTTTGATTTTTTTAAACAACCTTCACTATTAATGACGTCAGATGTTCGAATAACCTTCACTTTTGGCGCCCTGTCTCTAGACTATCGAAGGTATGGTTTAAAGAAGTGTTGTTCAGTCGTCTGCTCACTTTTGCTTTCATTGTTAATTTTTTGGTTTGTCAAATGCTTTGCATTAGTGAGCAGTTTAGCTTTCACGTGGAATTTTATGGAGTTGAGCGATTGGCTGGTTTATGTGATGTACACTACAGACGGTTTAGCTGCGCGGAGTGATCGAACCTTCTCAAAGGCAGTGCCTAAAAAGTCGACTTTGAAATTTGTGCTTCCCGGGGCTATTCGCTATGCTGAATCCGAAAATCCACACTAGAGCGCGACGGCGAAGGAGTTTTAACGATCAAGCGATCTTCTCGATTCCGTTAGAACGAACCCCCCCCCAACATCGCCACCGGCCAGGTGCAAACGCGTGACTTGAAATCGGGACTGAGAAGATCGCTCCGGAAGCTGTGAGCCTGAACTCACAATAGGGAAGACCCCGCCCACCTGCTAATTTTCCTCCTGCGTTAGAGCCTCTTTTCGCCGTTTTCCCGCTCTCCGGTGACTTTCGGATTCAGCATAGCGAATAAGCCCGGGTAGGCACAAAGTCCCAAAATCGACTTTTTGCCCGAACATTGTCTTTAAAAGCACTGCGCCGTAGTGCCTAGCGGTAATCGGCAGATCTGAAGCGCAAACCAGCTATGGATCGTAAGATAAGGATGTGGTTTATCGGTAGCATGGGGAATGCGAGACCCCCGTGTGTTTAGTAATTGTGTCTAATAGTTGGCCATATAAAAAGTATTTTTTTGTTGTGGTGGACGCATTCAATGTAGCTATTTATCCTGATTAGCCCCCGTAGTATTATAGCAAACAAGGAGGGTGATCCGCGACAACTGCCCTAAGGCGTCTCAACCTTGTGAGTCAGCGGAAGTGCTGCTCACCAATGCCCTATGCTATTTACACACTTGCCCATGTACAAGTGGATACTACGCGCGAAATAGCTGAAATAGCTGAAATAGCCCATATATTATCCAGAGTGATGAAACATCAGCTTGCTAGATAGCGATCCAATGCATACCGTGTTAAACTGGAACCCTGTGCATGAATCTGTTGAAGGGTCTGACCACATTAAGTCGACCGCGACTCCTTCATCACAGGCACGAGGCGTTTTCGGTTTCTAAAATTCTTCACCGAACGAGATAATGCTGTTGTTAGTTTTAATCTTACCTGCAGTGTCTGTAGGGAGTCCCAGCTATGGATGTCAGGTGAAATTCCACCATGCATACACAGTAACCGATTGCCTACAACGGCACAAAGAGGCATTTCGTTAAAAACCTAAACACTATGGTAATGCTAGAGCATCCCAAGCAAAAAAATTTTATCTTACTGCACCTCCTGAAATTTCTTCCACAGATAGACGCTCCTTTTCCTTCGCAACTCTTCATAAAACCCGTACAGTCTGTTCATTTTTGAACATTCATGATTGCCACGAAGAAGATGGATGAGGTTGGGGTATTTGACACGGTAGCACAACAACAGCATTATAACCTGAAAAATTTATTTTTGGAGGGCAATACATTGTCTTCACTCCTACCTCGAGCGATTTTTTGCACCTGTCCACATAATCTCCGAGAAACAATATCTTGTTCTGAGGCGGAGGCCCGACTATGGTGAAGAACCTGAAAAACATTTCTTGAGTCTGCCACATTAGCCAAAGAGAGCACAAAAACTTTGTTATACCGCAATAGATCTCTAAGCTGTCCATGAACGTCACCGAAAATAACAATTGGGGCATCAAGTTCCAGCATTGCTGGTTGTGGTTCCAAAGAAGCCTTTGCCTCAAAAATTTACTTCAGATTCAGAATAACGAATTTTCTCGAATTTATTATGCAAGTTCTGTCGCGGTAGTCTACAACCGAACGGAGACGGATTTGCCAGCCAGTTAATATCATTCTAAAAACAGTAAAAACAACGGTGTTCCCTCTTGAAAAATTTCATTCGCTCAAATTGGGTAAAAGCGTACGATTATGCTCTGATATCTCGGAGAAGACGCAAATTCAATGAATTTTGCCCTACTGGTGTAGCGCACTACTTTCAGGGTGTACATAGAAGTTTCGATGGAGTAGGTACTATGGTCGTATAAGCCACTTCTGTACAGTCGCATAAATTAGTTTTTTTTTTGCACAGGGAGAGCAACAGTCATTATGCAGTTTTCAGACAAATTAAAACGCACTTTGGTCCATTTCCAACATCTTATCATAACTTATACTAACGGTTAAGCCCATTTACGTGACTTTGTGTGTATCCGTTTGCCTGCCTGCCTGTAGCAAAATTCATAGAGTTCTGGCGGAGGACTCAAGTTAGAACTTGGTCTAGCATCCTATTAGCATGTAACACTGGGCAAAAGCGCAGGCCGATCTGATAAGCGGCGCCAAATGAATCCTGTGGCTTTTAGCCTACATCGGGACTATATCTAGACTCGTATGATTATAGATTTGCTGGGCATGCGTGTCTTCAAAACATTAGCTTTAGCATAAAAAATTATCAAAAATTTGTGCGAAAACGGCGCCCAAAAAAGAATGATAGCGTAGATAGTGTAAGTGTTTGTAAGTGTTTGGGCTAAGAATTTGAAAAGATTTTTGCACAGAGATGTAGCTTGAGGTGTTTATTGTCATCGTGGCAATAATCAAGCCATGATATATCTGGTGACCAATTCAAATTCGCATATAGTAAGTAGTCTTCGGCACAAAGGTTTTATCTCCGTTTCCAATTGAATATCAAACAGTTGTGAGTTGTTTACAATTCATTTGTGATGGAGTGACATTGCGAGTTGAGTCTCAAAGTGATCACTATGCGAATGCAAAACAATAACAGGACTTTTAGTAAACTTTTTCCAATATAGAACGAAGTTCTTCATATTGAAGCATTTCGCAACTATCATAGACTTGGGGTTTTTCTCTTTTCGATTTTGTTTTGCAAACATGTTATCAAACTCGTTTCAACTGGAATGAACGTCGTGTGTACATTATGATTAGGATTCGGAGAATCAACATAAGAATATGCTCGTTGTGTATAAGATCGAACAACGAAATGTATTAATTCTTCACACACCTCCTCTAATACTGCTAGCACTTGTTCGTCTGTAAAACCTGACAAATGTCCTTCTCTAGTTATCCTTCTAATCATGCGATCTAGCAGCACTGGTAAATTTATTGCCTGAAAATATCATCATTTGCAAGCTTATTCTGCGACTAATTTTCGTTGCACCGAAAGCGCTTTATCTTAATATTATTTTTACTTTATTTTTAGGATTAAAAATTGATCATGCTCTCGAAGCTGAATCTGCTAAGGGAATTGATAGAATTTAGATAATGTGGATAATCCATGAACAGAGTGAATCTGCAACCCAGCTCAAATCGTTAGCTAGACCAAAGTTTTTATACCCTGAAATCTCACAGGTAAGTCAGCCCATCAGATGAGTCCGTTTACAGAAAGTAGTTCGCCTCAAATAAATCTACTTTTTTGACTCACAAGGAGAGTCACTTAACTTAGGTCGGCTTTTTGAAATGAGACACATATATTTAAAATCAGCTCGGAACACTGACTCCAAATATGCTGTCCTTAGCTGCGAAGCGTTCGTCTGAAGCAAGATACGAGGTCCTTTTCGTAACTTGCTTCGAAGTAATGACGTCTGTTAAGATAATCGGAAAGTTAACTAGCGAATCAGAAAAGGAATAGCTAATTAATGGGTAGGTCACAGTCTCACTGTTTGCATAATAATATCACCGATAATCCGCTTTTAAACGTTGTTAAATGGAGGCAAAAGGCAAAAGCGTTGGCGGGAAACGATCCCCTGACCTTCTGACTGTGAAGCTAAACACAGGCCTTTCACCAAGAGCACACTCTGAGGTGTTGTTAGCCTTTCACCTAGACTGCCGGCGGATGGCATAGGTCACTGCAGGACTGCTCTGTGACTATAATCACCAGTAATTTCCAAAAAGCAATGATCCTAATTTGCTTGAACTAGCTCCAATCTCGGTATTATCTTCTTAACCTAACCATTTTGGATCTCCGTCATTACTCCGAACCGAGTTACGAAAAGGTCATCGTGACTCGCTTTAGACGAAAGCTTCGCAGCTAAGGACGGCATATTTGGAATTAGCGTTCCGAGCTGATTAAATATACGTAGCTCATTTCAAAAGGCTTACCTAAGTTAAGTGACTTCTCTTGTCAGATAAGACTCTTCGCCTACAAATAAGTCCGTTTTCTTTCCATTATAAATACCCTGAAATCTTGCCAGGTAAGTCCGAAGACTGTCAGATAAGTCTGGACCTATCTGTAGACGGACTTATTTGATGGAGGATCTTATCTGCAAGATTCCTGGCGGTGCGAAGGTGCATTTTCATCGATTTTTTTGTCAAAAAGCGTATTTGTAAAATTTTAGGGTAATAAGAGCACTTGCTATGGAAGCAATTTCAAAACTTGGTGGATCCCTTCCTTTGGTGGGTGTAAAGATTCATCTTCATCTAGGTATATATTTTTCAGCTCTTGTCCGCTGGCGAAGTACTTGGGCTTCAGCCATTATGAGCAAGAGTACTTTGGCGCAGAAGTGGAAGGACTCAACCCTCAGTGTTTTGCAGCGTGTTTAACATTCGGCGTTTTCGGAAGTCCCTTATCTCTAGAACAAGGCTTAATACGAGTTGGCACCATGGGATTTTGAGCCAAAGTTTCCTCTGACATTGCAAAATACGACCCACTACTTTGAAAAATTACGAAGATATAACTTTAGAACAACTGCTGCAAAACGAATGATTTGGTTTGATGGACAAAAACGAAAGACAAAGCAGCTGAAGGAGAAAACAAATGGCACTTTCTATACATCCAGAACCGTAGCAAAGTAAAAGGAAGGAAGTGACTTCAGTAGAACAAAGCTGTAAATCACGCGAAATTCTACTGTTCAATGTCATAAAGGAGTGTGGATAGAAGGAAACGCCTTTCAATCATAGAAATTTCTTATGGTTGTTTGAACAAGTTCCTACTTCCCACTACCGCCGCAGCCGATTTGTGTTCACACCATTTTCTGTTTGTTGTGAATTCGCCATTTGTTTATTTGGGACACAATCTGTATACTTGCGCTTGCGAGATACGTGTTAGAGCGTGCCGTATTGGCCTTATCGTGACGCAAGCGTAGGGTCCGGCTCGTCTGACCTAGGGGTTGCATCAGGGGTGTATTTGTCGGCGGATTGAAGCAGGGGCTTCTAACCTCTACTAGGGAAGGAAATTTGTTTAAAAAGACGTGGAAAGTGCTAGCTAAATAAGTGAAGAAAAATTAATGGTTACCGAACAAATGAGTTTGTATTGTAAATCGGCACAATAATTTCAGCAGATTGCGAATTCTTAGTCTCCTTCCGTACATTTGGCTTTGCAACGAAGAAAGCATCATATTCAAACGTGATCAACTTCTTCTCACCAAAGATGGGAAGAGATTTCTCGCTTTTGTTTAAGCTAGAAATTTTCATATAACTTTCGAATAAAAGATAACAGCTAAACTTCCGACCATCGCGTTCACTACCTGAGTGTTCCGTCTCTAAAGATTGCAACCAAGCGAAATAGAGTCGAAATAGAATCGTCTAACATACAATAATAAGAAGGTTGGGACTAGAGTGAAAAGCACATGAAAAAGTTTCTCTGAGTTGCAGTCTGTGGGTTTAAGCACAACACTTCAGAAAGCAGGCTGCCTAATCTTTGGTAGACTAATATTTGCATATTCGACTTCTCTGTAATCCACAAACCGCTCAGTTTTGATATGGGTTGTAAGCTCAGAACCTGTTCTCGATGGTAAGAGTTTGGTTCCCAATCTTATATATAAAGCTGAATGTCTGTTTGTATGTCTGTCTGTCTGTCTGTCTGTATGTCTGTGTGTACGTATGTTCCGAATAGAAAATTCCATTTTTGAACCAATCCGGACCAAATTTGGCACACATACACTTCGGGCCCGGCGGGTGTCATAGACTACTTTTCGTATCGATCGATATCGATTTTATCGATTTTTTGCAAAATTTGAGCTACGGGGTTGGGAGTTGGCACAGGGGGGTAATCGAGCATGCTGATTACGAATATAATAATGACAGGGCCGGGCGGAGCCGGGTAAGTCAACTAGTCCTGCATATAACCTGTAGCAGCCAGCATCGGTCCCGCGCCTATGACTTGCGACGACGCACCGTCGCATGCGACGTGCCTTAACGCGTAGCGGAGTTCGCACGCGTCACACCGCGTCGCAAGTTGCCGCAGGCGCACCGTCGCATAATCGATGCTGGCTGGTACAGCCTATAGAAGGTATTCCAATTCTGAGTGTCGTAGTCGGAGCGGCTGAGCTCGCAAGCCGCATCGCCTGGGCCACTCTGTTAATTTTCGCCTGCCACCTTTTTCCCTTCCCCTTAATCACAAGTGTGAGCCTTGTAAAATAGACTGTGATAGGATGCGTGCTTTTTAGGAGCAAGTTGCGCTGAGCCAAATTTAGCGTAGCGTCCTCATTACCCGGGCTCGGCACGAGGTGGCTTCGCGAAAATGCAAAAAACGAAGTCCTCATTGACTTTCCCTAAATTTTACGAAGCCCCCTTTGACTTTAAACCATTAACTAATCCTTAAAAAACAAAACGTCAACTAAAAAACGTAACCTAAATTGCAAGAACGACATCCTTTTTGCTTTTTGTCCCAAAAACGATATTCAGGATGACGAGCACCTGCGCCGTGCCCTGCTCATCACCTAGACAGTATATTTTAGATCGGCGTTTGGCTTTGGTAGACCATCGGTTTAGAGGAAATCACTTATGGAACCCTCATTTTCGAGATTACGTTCCTTGACGCTTGAGCGATCTCCCAATGGAGGTTATCTACTATGTCGCACTAGTACAACTCATTTTTGCCCACTCTGTCTTCAACCCGTCTGAAATAGCGTTGGCCACCTGCCACTCTCAAAATTTGCAAATAAATTTCGTTTGTAACACCATTTTCTTAGACCTTTGCAGTTGAGATGTTTTCCATACAACTTCACAAGCTTGAGTTTTGCCGAATCGTATCGACTGAAATAGCAGACATACGCTCTAGCAAACAAAAGGATATTCTTGCTTAACACATTCACGACAAGGCCGTTTTATCGATTTCTGCCGTCTCGGACATACGACCCACTGGTATCAACCTTCTCGTGTCTTTTTTCGACTGTCGATGGGTCGTATGATCCGAAAGGTAGTATTCTAATTAGGCTTACTCTAGATGTCTTCAACCATGTGCGGACATTTCATGCCCTTCTATTGTAAATCTGTAGTGCCTGGTAGTGCGAACCCAGAGGTGGGTCGTAGGTCCGAAATGGCAGTAGACGTACGACCCACCGGTGGTTCGTATTGTCGTAAATGTGTTAAAAAGTTGTCAAACGCATTGGCAGCGATATTTTGAAATTAAAGATATCTACACGGTTATGGAGCGTGTGGAGGGGAATCTGCGTATTGCTGTCGATGAAGCCGCTACAGATCCGACCTCATGTAGCCAGTCCAGCACTCGCCCCGGATGAGTAGTTGAAACCAAAGTGGCTTGATGCAGAAATTGTAACTTGAATAGCCCGCATATGAACGCAAGAGTTTTTTTAGGCATTTAGTGGTCCACTTGAAATAAAAGAGCGAGACGACTGATTACAAAATACACTAACGTCCTCTGCATTCTCGTCAAGTCTTGGAAGTTTTTGAAAGAGAAGATCAACAATGACAGAGTTGGTACATCACGAGGGCTTATTTATGCCACCAAGGCCAGGCCACCACTTCTAATCATCTGCTCAAAGAAGATAGAGATTAGTGTTTTAACTCTTGCCGCTATGACACAAATCATTTTCATCCTGCTCGCTTCTAAAATCATCCCCTTTGGACTCTGCCCGGATTGTCGAAATGCAGGTGTGCGTGCATTCTGCTCAAATTCAATCACTGAGATGTGTTTCTGCATCAAAAAGCTGTTTTGATTGATAGAATACTAGAGGCACCGCAGGAGAAGCCTTTGCATTGGCATCATGACATATGTATAAAATGGGCTAAGGGTGTTTAGGTGTTTTTTGTGTGTGTCTGTCTGCAACGGAATTCATAGAACGAGTCGCAGACATGGTTTCAAACCGCAATTTTTTGCACATCACACAGTGCCAACATTTTGAGTCACAATGCAAAAGCACGAGCAGTTCTGTTGAATAAATCTCTTCGACTGCGCGTCAAACGGGTGCACTTGGTTTCTGGACTGCAGAATTGGGTACGTATTACCACTTTTTACAGGGTTATGGTTACGTTTAACAAGTCAATATGCAAGCCAGAATCTTTGGCTCAAAAAAGGGATGAAAGTCTGTTGCTCCACGAAAACGGCGTTAAAACGAATTGTTTGCTCAAATAGTCAATTTGCCAAGGTTTCGATGAGCATTTGAAAAATTTGAGAGAATTTTTGCACAGGGGTGTAACTCACAGTGAGTACTTTATGGCGATTACCAAGCCATGAAACATTTCAAGAGTGTTCCAAATCTGCTGTTGTTCTTTTTATCTTCCAAAGTTCCAACCACGCCAAATACAGATCTCACACGAAAAAGCTTTCGGAATGAGTAATTGTTTACGACTTATTCATAAAGCCGGGCATTCCGCGGTGAGTTTCAGTGCATCTTATGCGAGAATGAGTGCGGCGTTAGATAGAAGAAGTGCGAACCTCTGCGAAGCAGAGGTGACTCTCTGGTACATTATAATCTAAGCGACGGTGCCTTAGTGCAATTCTTTCGATATCTGCTAGTAGGCCATTCATGATTAATATATGGGAGAAACATGTAAGCTGAAATAGAGCGAATGTTGCCATCGAACTGCGCACCAAATAACTAGTAAGCCTAAATTTGGAGAAGACTGAGGCTGCGTTCATACTGATCCAGAATTTCGGAAACAGTTCCAACACAGCGCTGTTTACGCGCTGTGCTGGAACTGTTCGCGAACTTCCAAATCCGTATGAACGCAGCCTAAGTGACTCATTTTGGAATTACGTTGTTAATACGGAAGTAATACTTACTGGAACCGTTGATTTGTGTTTGAGTGACTGCATTTTGACTTGGTTCTGTACTTCAAGCATCTTCGAGTAATTAAAACACCGTATGTAGGATGGTCCGACGAGTCGAGTGGAATGATTAGTAGGAATGAACTTGACCCATTCGTGAAGCTTACACAGCAATAAATAATATTTGCATCACTTATCAATGACTGCTCACACTCAAACAATTTATGGGAACTTTCCGAGGGTTGTGGGGAACTTCCCGCAGTCACCTCGGAAAGTTCAGGTAAAGACCTCGGAAAGTTCTGCAAATAAGCTCTCGGGAATATCCCCAAGAACGGAAACTTTCCGAGGACTTCAACTGCAGAACTTCCGAGGGTTTTAGGTGGATCTTTGCGTAGCTACAGAACCTTTAACAACAAATCCTGCTTCTTTCGAGCCGTGCCCTTACTTCAGCTAGAAAAATATACAGAACACAGATATCCTTCACCATTTATTGTTAGAGCACCAGATGTAGATTATATAGACGAAAGGCAGTGAGAAAATTTCTTAGCATGTTTTCAAAACTAAATTACAACAGTGCCTGAATGACACGGATGAAGTATCATACTGAGATATATTATCATGTACTGACGGTAGGCAGACGCAAGAATAGTGAGAATGAGAAGAAGCATGACGTGATATGCCATCAAAAAAAGGTAATGATGGGGTGGCGCGCAAGACTGAGGATCAAATCTCATTCATGTGAAGCGCTTGTCTCCTCCATTTCGATTTCGTCATGCGTGCCTTGTTTCCCCTACCAAAGCCGACCTGCAAAATCGTTTTGTATTTCTGGAAAAAAATATGTAAATGCGTACAATAAAACAAACCAAGTGTGTACCTCTGGTAGCACAAGTTACTCTAAGGAAAACGGTAATAGTTGTTGTTTACAAAGTTGTTGTTGCTGTTGTAGTCGTTCAATTATTTAGTGTTGTTGTGTTGTTGTTACAGTTGTTTAGTAGTCTTCTAGTTTTCTACTGTTGTTTACAATCTTGCATTTTGCAAATAACCACAAAACCTTTCCACACGCAAGTGTTGTGCAAAATCGCATCGTCCCACAGCGCCGCCACGCAAAATCAGGCGTCGTCGTCAATGAGTTAACCCTTTAGAACCTGATTTTTTCCCAGTGAGAGAGATAACTGCTTACCTATTCTTTATGATTAGTGAGTATCTGAATAACAACACAGCGAAGTTTGGAAGTTTTTCGACAACGGAATGCTTTTGTTTTGGATTATTTCTTCAAACTTTCTTCCAATTTTCTGATTTTTTCAGCATAGGTAAACTCATGGTAACTGTTTTCGTAAACACCATACTTCACCTTTCGATGACAGTCTGAATGTGTTTCAACCACTAGGTTAGGAGATAACTGACATTTTCTTGGCCGAAGCTGCGACACACATCGTTATTGTTTTTTTGACACTCAGTTGCACACTAAGATTCTTGTATTGCTAGCACCGCCATGAATGAAATGAGAGTTGCAAACCACTGTTAGGAAGTCAAAAGTTGTCTGAAGCTAATTGTAGCATAAGTGTTAGAAATCTGCTGCTGCGCCAGTCTAAATGCCCTCTAAAGTTGATGGTGGCAGTTGACACTACCACGTCCTAAAGGGTTAAGACAGACATGTCTGTGAACCTTAAACGTTTTGCAGTTGCGCGTTGTCACCATGCTGTAAACCCACAAGTTCCAAAACCGCAAAACGCGTCCCAATCCCACTGAATCAAAGTCTATCCATTCTAATTTGAAAATACTAAAATTGTCAAGCTCAAAAGTGTAATATAAATATTGACACACGTTCACTTGGATCTGTAAACTCGTTTCTTGGTCTTTCGATATAGTTTTGTAAACGTTTGATTCAAAACTCTCAAATACAGACAGTACACTTTAAATCATTTAGGTTTGTCTGTGTACCCAGGAATCTAGTCTCCTCTCAAAAGCTAATGACATCTGATTGATCAACAACATTAAATTTATAAAACTTTACTTGGGCTGATGAATTGCTGTATTCATTGTCGCTGCTGGCTCATCTTGCTTAGAAAGAGAAGATCTTCTCGCTGATCTGCTGAAGCATCGACTGCGTACTTTTCGAGATTCCACTTTTCCTGTACATTGCTATAACTGTAAACGTAACATGCACAGGCCGTATAAGCCCAACAGCCATGGTTTTGCTGTTTAACTCTATATATGCATCATATATATATACTAGCTGGCTTACCCGGCTCCGCCGTATCCGGACCAAACTTGGCACACATACACTTCGGGCCCCGGCGTGTGTCACAGTCCACTTTTCGTTATCGATCGATGTCGATTTTACCGATTTTTATCGATTTTTTTGCAGAGTTCACCTACAGGGCTAGGAGTTGGCACAGGGGGGAAGTGAGCATGGGTATTCCGAATACAATATTAGTTTTCAGAATTATCGATTACTTTTATTGATTTTATCGATTTTTTGTAAATTTTGGCATGCGAGGCTGAGATTTTGCACAGGGGGGTAATCGAGCATGCTGATTACGAACACAGTATTAGTTTTCAGGATCGTCCATTACTTTTATCGATTTTATCGATTTTTTTTGTAAAGTTTGACCTGCGGGGCTGGGAGTTTGCACAGGGGGTAATCGAGCATGCAGATTACGAATACACTATTAGTTTTCAAGATCGTCCATTACTTTTATCGATTTTATCGATTTTTTTGCAAAGTTTGAGCTAGGGGGCTGGGAGTTGGCACAGGGGGGTAATCGAGCATGCTGATCATCCCCAAGGGGGGTGATCAGCATGCTCGATTACCCCCCTGTGCCAACTCCCAGCCCCGTAGGTGAACTCAGCAAAAAAATCGATAAAAATCGATAAAATCGATATCGATCGATGACGAAAAGTAGCCTATGACACCCGCCGGGGCCCGAAGTGTATGTGTGCCAAGTTTGGTCCGGATCGGTTCAGAAATGGAATTTTCTATTCGGAACATACGTACACACAGACATACAGACAGACATACAGACAGACATACAGACATACATACAAACAGACATTCAGCTTTATATATAAGATGAACATTTGTGTGGTATTGGTTTGTGGCTATAAGCTAAGCTCATAATGCTGTAAATGCTAAAGGCTAAGCTTGCGCTAATAAATGAGCGATTCCCAAAAAGGTGATTAGCGAACTGAGACATCGATAGCTAGGTAGATAGGTATCAATATTAATATTTTCAGAAAATTAATTTTTGATAACTTATTAGATCTTTTCAAAACATGCTTGGCATTGTTGGGCTGGATGATCACCACAAGTTTAGAATGTTTTCATTGACTACGAAAAAATGAATATGAAAAAAGACGATTGGGAATCATCAGGGGATCATACAGAAAGCTGGGAGGTGCGGCTTCGACAACTTCTCGCTCCAGTTCAATATGTTCATAGCGAAGGATAGTAGAAAAATGGATTGACAATGAGAAATTCAGGTGTGCAAAGCCTAATATTATCTTTTCTTCTAACAAGGGAAGCTTGTTTAGTCGAAGTGGCCTTTCTAAATGAGATGTAGACCATGTTGAAGGGCATAAAACGTTGACTCCAAATCTGCCTTCTTGACTACAGAGCGTTTATGCACGAGAGTTATGAGCGTTTTTCAAAGCCAAAAATTGAACGGGCATTTTGGATAAAATGAGTTTCTAAAATCTTACTAGCCCTCAAATAATGCAACCAAGTGTGATATATACTTGAAAATATTTTTTAAATAAAGTGCTCTGATGATTATTATTGCTCTATTAAAGAGCTAGAAAAGTATTACGGCTTTTTGTCCTACTTGCACACTCAATTTTTTGCTCCAGTAAGCTTTCATAACTCCTCGCCCATAAAAGTTTTGCAGATATGGAAGGCAGATTTGAAATCAGTATTTTATGCTCTTCAAAGTGGTTTACATTCCATCTAAGAAAGGCCACTTCGTCCAAACATGCTTTCCTTGTAAGCTGCGTTCCCCTTCCCAGCGGGATCTCGACGGATGCGACCCTTATTGTGCCTTTCTTTGTAATAGTGATAAAAATAGAAATGGTTATACACAAAGTGTGTTACTTATAAACTAGAAACCATTTTATATGTAAATTTTGTATGTAAGTTTTAACTCCGTTTCGTTCCTGCCCTTAGACGGAGTACAGGAACTCCGGGCTTTCCCCGGAACTCCTCAGTAAGGAAGGAGAGCCCTTGAACCTGTTCTATTATATATCAAAATTTTTGCTAAATGTTAAACTTAAACGATCAAATTTAACTTACATATTGATGATCTTATCGTATATTGTGTATAGATAAATAATATAATAGTCTGAATAGCCGCCGTGAATTGAAATCTTTTGAGTAGTAAGTGAGACATATTTGTGTATTTTTGTAAGTAAATTTTTTGTCATAATATTGATTCATTTCTAATGGAATCAATGATCAAGTCGGCTGTTCGTTATGTTTCTTATATAATAGTCACTTATGGTAATAAGAACGAACGGTTATTGGTTAGAAATATAAAGTGAGATGAAATATTTATGTATTTTGACAAATACTGGTTCAAGGCATTAGATATTACTTTGATCCTAATGTATTTTTTGATGTAGAATGTGAAACAGATTTTTAGTTTTATTGTAATTGTGAAATTCATATTTATATAGTATGAACTTATTTTTATGTAGACATTTGAAAGAATTATGTTTTCATCGTAACCATTAGAGATAAGTATGTTTCTCAGTTGTAACACTTTCTCAACAAAATCATTAAAATAGGTGCAAGTACGTGCAATTCTTAAAGTTTCTGTGTAAACTATAGCTTTTTTGATATGGATGGAAACATTAGAAGTAAGTCGAATCACTAAATCTAGATTTGATCCTTAAGTTCGAAACTATGGACAACTAGGAACACAAAAAAGTTTCAGCCGACTGTATCCTGCAAATGACGTCGGGATGCCATTTTGGATACAGTTTGTCGCAATCTAATCAGACTAAAATCGACAGACGAATTTCAGCCGCACAAGCGTACTATGATCGGCGTCGCGGCTGCGACGCTCATTTTTTGCAGTCGGGCGCAATAGCAACCACGAACTTGGATTTGGCGCATTGTCCACTTTGAAAAA